TTTTTTCAATAATGGTGATATGATTTTTAAACACATTTCCGATATTGCAATATACATTACCAGTGTTTGCCATACATTGACTTATTTGTGGTGGTTGACTTCGTTGAATAAACAGATCACTGCATGTTTCAAAATAAAAATGTGGCACGGGTGTTTTATATGAATGTATCTTTGAAGGGAAACGACTGTCTTCAGAAAAGTTTCGATGTAATTTTCACTTTATCTGAAGCGTTCATGAGTGGAGCGCTGCTTTGTGTACAGCCATTACTGGGGAAACCTCTGTTTCTGCTGCTCCAAAAGCGCCTCCTGCTGGCAGAGAATGAATTTGCATTTTCAAGAAGCCCGTCTCCAACAACTTGTGTTTTTGTTGTTGCTCACTCTTTTTTCTGATTTCTGCAGCAACTCTGAGCACTTCTCATATTCTTTATCCTGGCTGAAGCATTTTTGTTTCAATCTATAAGAATAATCATCCTATGTTATAGTTTAAAGTTAAACATATTAATATTAATAAGGTGAGTCTGAGAGTCTTATGTTTATTTGATGGGGATTTCACATTTGTTTGTATGAAGGCTAAATACAAATAAAAGGTGAACATTACTTGTAACGTTTTTATTTCTAAAGTATAGTTTTATAGGATGAGGTTTCATTGACTTGGCAAATTCATTTTTCAGAGGTTTGTAGGTACAGACAACTGTTCTGGGCATTCTTGGCAGTTTTTCTGAGGCTTTTTTTTATATTGTTCATATCGATATTGGGATTATATTGTATCGACCAAAATTAAGAAATATATTGTGATATATCCAGCCCTAGTTCAGCCTTATATGTTCGAACCGGAATCAGACAATGAAGGAGAGACTCTAGAAGAAGCAACTTTACCGATTTTTTCCGGGACATTTCCTTGAAAATGAAATTTAACGAAAATGAAATTTAACCACAGTGTCCTCCCTCAGATGGAGGGAGTCTATGGAGACTCATTCGTTGGTGCATCCCAAAACACAACACTTGTAATGCCTCTTTGGTGCTGACATTGTATATCTCCAGCAGCTACAGCAAGAAAACAGTAATGGCGGACTGCTGCTTCTCACTCAGGGCTGTGTCTATGCTAATAGGGCAGAGATCATCACAAATGAGCGGGATTTCTCCCTACGATGATGTGTACGTAGGGAGAAATCTGGAACCGTATGTTTGGAGAGACTGTTTATGATTTATTGGGATTATAAAAGAATGAGTGGGTGGATTTTTACCATTATAGGCTGGTTGTTTTCACACACTGCAGCCACACAACTGTGTTCAAACACCTTATAAAAGTAATTTATGCATAATAGGTCCCCTTTAAATATGGATATTTTATTCTTACAAAAACACATTGATTCACTTCAGGAGGCCTTTATTAACCCCCTGGAGCCAAGTGGAGCACTTTTTGAATATCACCCATTCACTGCCATTATAAAGCCTGGAAGAGCCAGGACATATGTTTTTATATAACATAACATTGTATTCGTCTGAAAGAAGAAAGTATTATACACCTATGGCTTGAGAGTGAATAAATTATGGGGTAATTTTCATTTTTGGGTGAACTATCCCTCTTTAAGACACTGTCTTCACATAGTGGCTATGTTTATGCATCTGGCCCCAGTTCAGTAAACTTTCACAGAGGTTAACAGAAGTAGACAACCATTAAATTTCAGTCTCTTGATTTTGATTAAATACAATTTTTTGTACAGACAGTTTAACGTATTGAAGTCTGTGCACAAATAAAGTAAAGAAATGGCAAAATTATATTTAAGGATGATTTTAATTACATTTTAATGAATGTTGGAACCGTCCACTCTTTTGGGGTCAGTTGCAACATTTGACTTTGTCTATTCAGGAATAAATTGTATTATGATATTTACATGTTACAGGAGTATGGGTGAGTAGCGGACAGATGTGGCCTATTAAAATTTTGGCTTTCTAATACAAACAGTCTCTAAGAAATTGAAGGAATTGCGAAAAAGAGTTTTGCAACCGTCCAAGCTCTCCTACAGTATATAGCACACTAGCACACTTCCAATGGGACAGTCACAGAAGGGCACTCTAAATTAGAAATGCTTAAAGCAAGCAGCTATTTTTGTTGTTGGTGTTCAAACAAAGTATTCAAATGAACAAACAACAAAAGCAAAGTAAAGTAATAATGTAAATGTAATGTAAAAAAATCACATAACTTAAAACATAGCTATACCTGGTTCTCATGTTGCAGGCAGTAGAATATGATCATATGAAAACCTCTTCTTTTTCTTCTCGGACTCTGTCGTAATTTGAGAGGATGGCAGCGGACAGCTGCCAGCCTGCCTGCACAGACTGTGACGTACGAGTTATTTTGAAACTTGACGGAAGAACAGGGTTGACACGTGACATGTGGCCAAGTATGGTGACCCATACTCGGAATTAGTCCTCTGCATTTATCCCATCCAAAGTGCACACACACAGCAGTGAACACACACACCCGGAGCAGTGGGCAGCCATTTTTGCTCCGGCGCCCGGGGAGCAGTTGGGGGTTCGGTGCCTTGCTCAAGGGCACCTCAGTCGTGGTATTGAAGGTGGGAGAGAGCGCTGTACATTCACTCCCCCCACCTACAATCCCTGCCGGTACGAGACTCGAACCCGCAACCTTTTGGTTACGAGTCCGACTCTCTAACCATTAGGCCACGACTTCCCCAGGTTTTCACAACAAAAAAACGTCCAATTGCTACTCAAAACTAGCCCAATCGTGTTTCAAGGTGGGTCCCCCGATAAAAATTGGATAAATAAAATAAAATAAACGTTTTTTGGCAGGTTCCCCTGGTAAAATTCACATTTTAGGGGCTAAATATCACGTTATTGGGGTTGCTTCAAACCGCGGACATTGCACTGTGCAGGTCGATTGTTTTGTGACATTCATGAGAGCTATAGAGAGCAGAGCTTTGGTGTCTTTTTTGATCGGTGCACAGCGACGCTTCAAGTCAAACGAACGAACAAACACTTGCGCATATTTGCATCGCTTTGATCGTTCCCTGTAGATCTCGTCTTCTCACGCGCATCCCCACGATTGGCCGATATTATGTACAATACCTGCATGTTATTGGTCAAACTGCTTTTGATGTTTTAGGCAATATTAAAATCCTGGCCGGGATGTGTCCCGTATGAATGGTGCATATGGCCACCCTAATTAATGGAAGTATAATCTACCAAATGCAATTAATTAATGATCATTGTTATGTCGTGGGTTCGTGCAGTGAGATTAAACACACAGGAGAGCTGTCAGACATCCATGCATTTTTAACACACCCAATTATTGAACACGCCCTCTTTCTTACACATACCATTCAACTGGTATGCTACAATCATTAAATATTAAGTGTCTGTATAATGTTTTTTTTTTTTTTTATCAATTTGCACATCAGATGAAAACTCACATGTATGTGTGCTATCAGGGACTGGATGCTCAGAAATTAATTGCAACATTTTATTAAGTCTTGATTGTCTCAATTCAGGGTTTTTTTCCCCTCACTCACCATGTTTATTTTCATATCTAACCTGTGCAAAAGGCGATAAAGATACTGATGGTGCGCTGTCGCATTGACTCTGTTGGAGACTTTGATTATGAAAGACGCGCATCACGTAGCGGTACGCTACGGGCAGATGTCAGTATGAGGAAGCTGACAGTCTGTGTCTGTGGCAGTTAGCGATCGGTCTCTCTGCATAACGAGCACCAGAGACGTTCATTATCATTTATCAGCCTCAGCTTGACTGTATTTTGTGCCGTGTGCGTCCTATAGGAGTGGGTAACGATCGCTTTACACTGTTCCTTCCCGGTCCTACGCTTGGACCCTCACTCCTGGGAGTTCTGTTGTGCTTCAGGGAACACGCGGTAGTGGTCAGCGGCGACATTCGAGCCATGTTCCATCAGGTTCGACTTCTACCAGAGGATAGGTCACTTCTTAGGTTCATATGGCGTGATATGAGACGAGATGAACGCCCCGACGTTTACGAGTGGCAAGTCTTACCCTTCGGTACCGCCTGCTCACCGTGCTGTGCCACTTTCGCACTTCAGATGCACGCGAAAGATCATGCTGGGACAGAAGAGGGAATGAGACATTCAGTGGAACACTGCTTTTATGTGGACAACTGTCTCCAGAGTGTGCCCACCACAGATGAAGCCATGGCGTTGGTTGACAGTCTCAGGTCAGTGTTATCCTCTGGAGGGTTTGAGATCAGGCAATGGGCTTGCAATAAGCCGGAAGTTCTTCAGCACCTCCCACCAGAAGCAAGGTCAGATAGCATAGAGGGATGGCTATCAAAGAATGAGTCTGGATTGTCAGAACCGATCCTCGGGCTCAGTTGGCAGTGGGAGACAGACACTTTAGGCTACAAGAGTCGGACTCTGGAGTACAAAGTGCTGACCATGAGAAATGTCTATAAAGTGTTAGCCAGACAGTACGACCCCCTGGGATTTATAGCTCCCTACACAACTCGCGCCAAGCTGATTGTCCAAAGCATGTGGGACAAACCGCGCAATTGGGACGACCCCCTCTTACCTGCAGGCTTGCAACTGGCATGGATGGAGTGGGAATCTGAGTTGCCCTTGCTGGCGAGTATTTCACTGCCCAGACCTTATACTCCCACTCATACCCAACAGGGGATTGCCTCTCGGCAGATTCACGTGTTTAGTGATGCCTCCGAAAAGGCGTATGGGTCAGTGTCTTACATGAGGACAGAGGATGCCCAGGGTAGGGTCTATTTAGCTTTCATAGCAGCCAGATCCAGAGTAGCACCCCGCAGACAGCATTCTATTCCCCGTTTGAGCTTTGGACAGCAGCTCAACTTGCTAAGACCATAGAGAGAGAGCTGACGGTGAAGTTGGATCAGATGGATCAGATCAGTGACTCGACAACAGTGCTGACATGGTTGCGGTCTGAGTCCTGCCGCTTCAAGGTGTTCGTTGGTACTCGTGTGGCGGAGATCCAGGAGCTTACCGCAGAGTGTACCTGGCGCTATGTGGACTCCGCACAGAACCCAGCAGACGATGTCACCAGGGGAAAGACCTTAGCAGAATTAGGCATGCCTAATCGTTGGAGTCAAGGCCCATCCTTCCTCTTCAAAGGACCTGCCGAATGGCCATCCTTATCAGGAGAGGTGTCAGAACTTGATACCTCAGAATACAGGAAGCCAACTTCATGTGGAGTGGTATCCAGTGTGGATAGACAGGAAACCCCTCCGGATCAGTCATACTCGTCATGGAGAGCTCTGGTAGAGGCAGTAGCGAAGGAGGCTCATGGGGCGGCGGACCCAGAGAAGTCCTTGTCTGCAGGGGACTATCGGCAAGCAGAGTTGACTGTTTTCCGTAGGTGTCAATCAGAGTGCTTTACCGATGAGCTGCGTCGTCTCAAAGCTGGAAGAATAGTATGTCGGAGCAGCCGGCTTCTTACCCTATCCCCAGAGCTAGACCCGGTGGAGGGAGTGATACGAGTAGGAGGTAGACTCCGACGTGCAGAGTGGCTGGACCCTGCGTTCAAGCATCCAATTATTTTGGACCCTTCGCATGGCACAACTAAGCTGCTTATCCAAGATTATGATGCACGTCTATGTCACCCAGGACCAGAGCGGGTCTTCGCAGAAATACGGCGTCACTTCTGGATCCTCCGAGGTAGAGAGGCGATTAAGAGGGTTCAACATCAATGTCAAGAGTGCAGGAGATGGAAATCCAAGCCGTCAATCCCGAAGATGGCTGATTTACCAGTAGCCCGTCTACGGTTGTACAAGCCGGCGTTCTACTCGACTGGAGTAGATTGTTTTGGACCATTCCAAGTCAAGCTAGGGAGGCGTTCAGAAAAGAGATGGGGTATCATTTATAAGTGCCTCACCACCCGAGCTGTGCACTTGGACCTCATACACGGGATGGATGCCGACTCCTTTCTGATGAGTCTCAGAAGATTCATTGCCCGTCGAGGGACTCCAGCGGAGCTCTACTCAGATCAGGGTACGAATTTTAGAGGAGGTGAGAAGGAGCTCAGTGAATGCTTCCGCGGTATGTCCTCAGATCTCCGACAACTTCTTGCCAAACAGAAGATTGATTTCAGATTCAATCCTCCTGCCGCACCTCATTTTGGGGGTACGTGGGAGCGGGAAATCAAGTCTGTCAAGACAGCTTTGTACACGGTCATAGGAGTTCAGCCAATCTCTGAAGAGGTACTGCACACAGTTCTTTTTGAAGTTGAGGCTATCTTAAATTCAAAGCCGCTGGGTTACACCTCATCTGATGTTGTTGACTTGGATGCCATAACCCCAAACGTCCTCCTCATGGGGCGGCCTGATGGGGCACTGCCTCAAGTAGTGTATCCTAGGAGTGAGGGACTGAGCAAACGGAGATGGCGACATTGCCAAGTTATAGCGGATCACTTCTGGGCCAGGTTCATTCAGAGTTATTTGCCGACCTTGCAGCACAGGCAGAAGTGGCATGGAGCCCCAGAGGATCTGAGAGTGGGCTCAGTAGTTCTGTTGATAGATCCGCAGTTCCCCAGAGCACTCTGGCCCATTGGTAGAGTGGTTGCAGTACATAGCAGTGCAGATGGTCACGTGAGGTCTGCAGATGTCCAAGTCAAGGATAAGGTCTATACCAGGCCTGTTGCCCGGATTATTACTCTTCCGGCAATCCCTGAATCAGAGGAGGATGAGCGATGCACTCCAATGGCCACCGATTCAACTTAGCCTTTTACAGAGACAAATTGCATGCAATTTGGGGGCGGCTGTGCAAAAGGCGATAAAGATACTGATGGTGCGCTGTCGCATTGACTCTGTTGGAGACTTTGATTATGAAAGACGCGCATCACGTAGCGGTACGCTACGGGCAGATGTCAGTATGAGGAAGCTGACAGTCTGTGTCTGTGGCAGTTAGCGATCGGTCTCTCTGCATAACGAGCACCAGAGACGTGCAGGACCAATTTATCAGCCTCAGCTTGACTGTATTTTGTGCCGTGTGCGTCCTATAGGAGTGGGTAACGATCGCTTTACACTGTTTTCAGTTTATAGTTGTTTTGTTAGTTGTGACGCAGTTATGAAGCGAGATATGCTACATGATAATGGTAACGCACACGTGCTGTATCTGATGTATCTACGATTGCAGTTAAAGTTACAATGTTAATACCTTTATTATCGATCATGTAGATATCAATGAATGTGATGTTATATTCAGTGTTTCTACTATGGTATTCCAGCTGGAGGGGAGCAGCCTATAATGTATGTCAATGATGTTAGTTCATTCTTCTAATTGCTGATGTTAGATTCCTGATCTTTGTGTTTGCAGATAAACCACACACATCCACAAAACCTGTACTCATATGCCCTGCATATCTCTACAATCATACAATCAAGCTCCTGTCCGTTGATAATCATCCAGTCTGTCGTGAGTCAAACCAACTGCAGTAAAGATTGCACGGCAGATAGCCTGTACATTTGATTCCCTCTGGAAGAATATAACTCACTCATGATTCAGCCTCTCCATCTCTATGCGCTCGGCTGCTGTCATTACAGAGACTGAACAGAGCTAAGAATATTCATCTCATTATGGCGTGATATGAGACGAGATGAACGCCCCGACGTTTACGAGTGGCAAGTCTTACCCTTCGGTACCGCCTGCTCACCGTGCTGTGCCACTTTCGCACTTCAGATGCACGCGAAAGATCATGCTGGGACAGAAGAGGGAGTGAGACATTCAGTGGAACACTGCTTCTATGTGGACAACTGTCTCCGGAGTGTGCGCACCACAGACGAAGCCATGGCGTTGGTTGACAGTCTCAGGTCAGTGTTATTCTCTGGAGGGTTTGAGATCAGGCAATGGGCTTGCAATAAGCCGGAAGTTCTTCAGCACCTCCCACCAGAAGCAAGGTCAGATAGCCTAGAGGGATGGCTCTCAAAGAATGAGTCTGGATTGTCAGAACCGATCCTCGGGCTCAGTTGGCAATGGGAGACAGACACTTTAGGCTACAAGAGTCGGACTCTGGAGTACAAAGTGCTGACCATGAGAAATGTCTATAAAGTGTTAGCCAGACAATACGACCCCCTGGGATTTATAGCTCCCTACACAACTCGCGCCAAGCTGATTGTCCAAAGTATGTGGGACAAACCGCGCGATTGGGACGACCCCCTCTTACCTGCAGACTTGCAACTGGCATGGATGGAGTGGGAATCTGAGTTGCCCTTGCTGGCGAGTATTTCACTGCCCAGACCTTATACTCCCACTCATACCCAACAGGGGATTGCCTCACGGCAGATTCACGTGTTTAGTGATGCCTCCGAAAAGGCGTATGGGTCAGTGTCTTACATGAGGACAGAGGATGCCCAGGGTAGGGTCTATTTAGCTTTCATAGCAGCCAGATCCAGAGTAGCACCCCGCAGACAGCATTCTATTCCCCGTCTTGAGCTTTGACAGCAGCTCAACTTGCTAAGACCATAGAGAGAGAGCTGACGGTGAAGTTGGATCAGATCGTCCTTTGGAGTGACTCGACAACAGTGCTGACATGGTTGCGGTCTGAGTCTTGCCGCTTCAAGGTGTTCGTGGGTACTCGTGTGGCGGAGATCCAGGAGCTTACAGCAGAGTGTACCTGGCGCTATGTGGACTCCGCACAGAACCCAGCAGACGATGTCACCAGGGGAAAGACCTTAGCGGAATTAGGCATGCCTAATCGTTGGAGTCAAGGCCCATCCTTCCTCTTCAAAGGACCTGTCGAATGGCCATCCTTACCAGGAGAGGTGCCAGAACTTGATACCTCAGAATACAGGAAGCCAACTTCATGTGGAGTGGTATCCAGTGTGGATAGACAGGAAACCCCTCCGGATCAGTCATACTCGTCATGGAGAGCTCTGGTAGAGGCAGTAGCGAAGGAGGCTCATGGGGCGGCGGACCCAGAGAAGTCCTTGTCTGCAGGGGACTATCGGCAAGCAGAGTTGACTGTTTTCCGTAGGTGTCAATCAGAGTGCTTTACCGATGAGCTGCGTCGTCTCAAAGCTGGAAGAATAGTATGTCGGAGCAGCCGGCTTCTTACCCTATCCCCAGAGCTAGACCCGGTGGAGGGAGTGATACGAGTAGGAGGTAGACTCCGACGTGCAGAGTGGCTGGACCCTGCGTTCAAGCATCCAATTATTTTGGACCCTTCGCATGGCACAACATTTTCTGAAGATTACATTTAATTGCTTTTGTTTTAAAACATAAACATTAAAATAATGTTAGATGATGGTAAAGGCAATCTAAATGTCAAAATAAAGAAATGCTCAATTTATTAGCATCAAATATAAATTATCAGCCGATAATAATAAACTAAAAAAATCTATAATATCGGCCAATAACCCAACACACTCTTAAAGGGATAGTTCACCCAAAAATGACAATTTGATGTTTATCTGCTTACCCCCAGGGCATCCAAGATGTAGGTGACTTTGTTTCTTCAGTAGAACACATATGATGATTTTTAACTTTAACCGTTGCAGTCTATCAGTCTTATAATGCATGGCAATGGTAACAAAATCTATGAGAGTAAAAAAAACATGCACAGACAAATCCAAATTAAACCCTACGGCTCGTGACGACACATTGATGTCGGTAGTGGTGACTTTCCACGTATTCCCAACTTCTGAGCCTGCTCGCCTGAAGTTATGGTTGATTGCTCTTCGGCTGGATATCAACACACCCATTAACGTAAACTACGCCAGAGCGCGTACACACCTCACGCACCGGATGCCGTGCGCGCACTCAAAGCATTTGTACATAGTGGTGTATTAGAGGTAAAACATTATATAAATACTGTTCGGTTTCTCGCACAAACCGATCGTTTCTTGTCTTAGGACATCAATGTGTCGTCACGAGCCGTAGGGTTTAATTTGGATTTGTCTGTGCATGTTTTTTTTTACTCTCATAGATTTTGTTACCATTGCCATGCATTATACGACTGATAGACTGCAACGGTTGGAGTTAAAAATCATCATATGTGTTCTACTGAAGAAACAAAGTCACCTACATCTTGGATGCCCTGGGGGTAAGCAGATAAACATCAAATATTCATTTTTGGGTGAACTATCCCTTTAAGGCAATATGTAACTATTTCAAATTTTCACAAGTTGGTGGCTAATTCGTATGAATTTGTACATTCCCATTCATATGTTTATACATACAATTCGCTTATGTCCCACTGATGGTTAGATTTAGATTACCTTTATGCTTACTCTTTTGAAAAATCTTTTATTTTTATTTATTTTAATTAAATTAGTTTCTATATGAATCACATCACACAAAATCCTCCCTGTGAAATAGTTACGTTTTCTCATGAGATCGAGTTGATAACCGATATGATACCGATATATTGTGCATTCCCAAATAAAAATACATGGGATATATCTACAAAAATATCAACATAATGCTGTAAGTGTTGTGATTGCATAAACATTTTTTATTTTATTGAATTCTCAGGACTATTGAAGGTTTGTGCTTGTAGAAATAGAAGGCCTGCAGAACTTTCACAACAACTTCATAACACTGACCTACAGCCGACACAAGTTATTCAACAGCATCTAGATCCAAACCAATCACAGGTACATTATCTATCTATCTATCTATCTATCTATCTATCTAAAACTCATTTCTTAATTGTTCTTTCGGCATGCTGAAGAGGACTCTTCCATGTTGTATACAAATATTCATCCTGGTCCAGTCAACAGCACTTATGTTGCTTTGCAGCTGCCAAAACCATAAAACGAAGCGTGCAGCTGACCTCATACTTATTTCACAGCATTTAAGAACAAACTGAAACTCTTGTGGTTGTCCAAGCACACATTTAGATGATGGATGTGCACTGTGGTTTGGTTTGCTTCAGAAAAAGTGTTGCGTCCAGACAGGTGGTCTGCATTTTAACCCAGTCAAGAGTTTTTCTCTTTGCCTTTGTGTTATACTATAAATGTAAATCTTTAAATTTATGTTATGTAATATCTTCAGTCAGTCACTTATGAAGTTCATGTGATTGGTAAAAAAAGTGGCCGGAGCAAACCTGACTTCCTGTGATTGACGTGTTTGATATTTTGTGATGCTAACATTTGTGTATCAGTCTTCTCACCAAGTGTTTGATATGCTATGATATATTATGCATTATAGATTTTATAGCAAATGAAGGCCTTTCAGCGACTGCTAATGTTATTAACTTAAAGTGCTAATTAAAAGGCTTATTAAATGAAAGTGTCATGAAATCCCCTTATATCATCACACTTCTGCAGAATGCTTAAAAAAGGTGTGATAATTTGCAGAAAGGAACATATGGAGGTGGGGACAGCCACACAAATGTCTAGATCTGAGATAAGCAGAGTAATACTAGCAATATTTGTCAACTGAGAATAATAGTTGTTCTGAATATCCTGTAGGCTAAGTTTTCAAACCACACTGCTGCTGTAGCTGTAATTCAGCAACAAGTCTCAAAAATCAGCCAGTAATGTCTAAAAATGCAAGCGTTGGATCAGATTTCTCATTCTTTTTGACAATGACTTTATGTTAAATTTCCATTATGTTTTCTCCATTAAATACAAAGACTGTATGAATAAAACTTGTGCGTTTGAGCAGTTTTATTTGAAAAACAAATGCATGCTGAATGGACTCTGGCTCTGATTTGAACTCTTTTAGCTCTGTGCTCTATTTAATGTAACATTCATTCATAGTTAACTTTATTAAAAGAAAGAAAAACATTGAAAATAACATACAGTTACTAATTTTCCTGGGCATGCCGTACTTGTCTCTAGTGACCTTTTATGGTCTCTTCAGAACATACTTTCTCTTTAGTGAAGACACAACAGCGCCTCTACTTGGCAGACAGGATGAGCAGACAAATAATTCCAGTGAAGCAGCAGATGAAATAAAAACCTCTGCGTCAACACTAGAGGTCAGTAGACTGTAATCACTGGAGGTGAGTCTATAAGACACATTCAACATAAATATGCAATATTTATTTTTTTGTCATACTGAGTATCTCTAGATTATTACATAACTGTTAATAAGCAGGGTTTATTTAGTTATATGCATGCAGTACTCTGACTCTGCTACAAGGAAACAATAATAAATAATAAAAAATATGAGTATTGAGGTGGTTTATAAATGAGCCACAAACCAGCTAAGTGGAAGCAAAAAGATGATGAAACCACTTCCTGGTGTGTCACATTTCCAGTGTAACCTCCTTAAAATACAAAACACACACACACACACACACAAACGAAAAAAAAAATTCTTAAAAAACAAACAAACAAAAAAACATTCACATATAAAACCCATGTGCACTATTTTTTGTTATAAATATGAATGCTCTCTGATGAGCTTAGTTTATGAGTCAAACAGAAACCTGTTGTGGTCTGAGCTTTATTTGGGTCAGTGACGCACAGAAGTCAACTATGAACTATGAATGTGTATGTGTGTGGTTTTTTTTTTCTTTTCTTTTTTCTGTTGGGTGAACAAATAGTACTTGTTCCTAATAGTGTGTCTATTAATGTATGTGTGGTTGATTCGTTTGTGAGTAAAGTATATCTTGTCCA